ATGAGCATGTGCCACTGACACCAATGGATCCAGTGATTTGCACTTGTTGGTTGCGTCCTTCGAGGTAGTCTGCAGTGCCGTGAAGGCCAACTTCGAAAAGATCGCCTACAAGAATGTCATGCTTGACTTTGTCGAAATCCTTCGACATGTACAGCAAACACGCACCACTGGCTAGTCGCGCGTCCTTTGCATGGAGAATGTTCTTCGTCAGGAGTGCCAACGCGTCTTCAGTGCAGCGGTTTGTGCGGTATGCAAATTGCGTGGTCGGCAGCACGTCGTTTGCTGCGAGGAACCTTGTAAGCTGGCGATGTACTACCTTTTCAAGCAGCTTCGCAACAATTGGTAAAAATGACACGGGTCTGTAGTTAGTGGCGACTGTTGGGTTCCCTGCTTTGTGAAGCGGCTTTACCAGGGCGTGTTTGAACGGCTTCGGTAGGCGACCGGAATGCAAGGAGGCATTGAAGAGGTCGAATAAGTGCGGGGCAACAATATCACTGCAGGCTCGCAGCAGACGGCCAGGGATCTCGTCACTGCCTGTAGCCTTGTCAGGATCGATTGTGGCGAGTAATCGCTGTACTGCAGGACGGGTCGTTGGCGTGACATCTGATAGTGAGGTGCGGGTGCAGGGACCATCGGGTATCTGTAGGATGTCCGGACGACTTGGATCAGTGACAATACTATTAAAGGAGCTGCTCACCGCAGAAATGTCGCACACTGGGTCCTGCCTTGCCTTGGAGCGGCCGGTTACCGCGATCAAGGTTGACCACCTTCTCCTTGGATCATGAGAGTGCTGCTCACATTGTTTGGTGAAAAAGCGTTTCTTTTCCTACGGATTGCGTTTAATGCCTGAGATCGGGCTGTTTTATACTGGGAGAGTAGGATGTCATTTCCTCTATCTCCTAGCCAGCGCTTGTGTAATCTGTTTTTCTTTTTCGTGAGTTGGTACGTACAAATGTCGAGCCAAGGTAAGCTCGCAGCAGCTTTCTGGCATCTTGACGAGAGCATGATGGGTGCATGTATGTCTAGAACTGTTTTGAACCCTTCATAGAAAGCGGTCCACATGTCGTCCACATCCATGTGGGCGGATGTAGGATTAGCGCTGAGTGCTTCGGCGAGGTCACACCGGAACTGGTCGATATTAATGTTGCGTAAGTGGCGACGCTATTGGCGTTGCCTACCTGGACTAGTTGTGGGTATGGCGATATGGAGGTTCGCCATCACCGCGCGATGATCGCTAATCGAACATTCCACGACAACGCAACTCGAGACAAAATTATGGTCTGCTAGTACGAGGTCGATCACTGAATCATGTTTCCCACTTGGAGTAGGCCATGTGGGGGACTTCACCAAATTCGAGATGCAGAACATATTACTGAGATATTGTAGGTGCGTAGGATGGTGACTGTGTCGTTGACGTGGAGATCGCCAATAATGGCAATGTGTGGCGCTTGCGCTTGGACCGGCTGCAGTGACTCTTCAAGGTCGTTCCAGTAGTCAATCCCCACGTCTGGAGCTCAGTAGACCCAGGCCACTGCATGTTGACCCTGGCCTCCTTTGATCGATATCCAGACAGCTTCTAGGCCGTTCAAAGACAGTTCAGGACAAAGTCGGATTGGCAAAGAAGATTTGTAATATTATATACACGTACCTCCTCCTCATCTACCCACGCGGTCTGTCCTTGTGAGGTTGTATCCAGGAATGGCTACTTCACGTGCTGGGTCTTTGCGATGTGAGCGCACCGCTCAGGGGTCGGATTTCGGTTGCAAGCACTGTATTAACAGAATAATGTGTGTAAGTTGCGGATTTTAGGGATATCTTACCTGGAAATTATCTCAAACACAGACGTATATACCCGCTGCAATGCCGTGCCAATATCCGTACTAAGCAGACGAGCACGGTGGAAACTGTTTGGCCATAATCTACGCCTCCCTGAAGCATCTCCAACGCAGGTGAGCATGACCGCGTATTTCCAGCGACAGAATTGTGGCGGGCTCGGACGCACGCGTATCAGCCTAGCAGTGGCGATATACAACGAATTAGCCAAGGCAACGTCCATGCGTCTCCGGGGTCTGAAGGACACTGCGATTGATGGTTTGGAACAGGCAATCATGTAACGATATAATCGCACGGGTTTGTTGTTGTTGTGCAATTATATTATGTCACATTGTAGAGTGCCGATCACCTAGTGCTTTCAACAATAATTGTACTTTCAATTATGAGCATTTTGTATAACCACACACCCGTCATTGTTGAATATTCGATAAAAGCGAGGATTTCCTAAACTATATATTTTTAGAAGAAAGAAAAAGGACCAAAGAGCTGAAAAAAGAGCTAAGAGCTAAAATATATGTTTAGTTTTTGGTCTCCTCTCCAGTTTTCCCAAAATAGCTTCGGAAAAGTCTGTTCATGGTTTTTCATTTGTATTGGACTCGTTCTCTACACCTGCGATATTTTTGGGGCAATTCTAATATTGTAGCGTTGTTCTCTTGTAATTTAGTGGAACCTGTATTGAGTAACGGAGTTTATGTTTCGTTACATTGTCGACAGATCTCCTGTGTACCGGTTTTGTGGCATAATGATTACAGCCATTTGTCGCCTCCATTCTTGTGCAATCATATTATGTGGGTTGGTTCTCTTCATGTTATTGTGACCTATTTCAAAGATGTTGGTTGCCTTCTTGCTTTCTCTCCCCTCTCCTCTCACCCAAGCCATTCTGCATAAGCAAAGCTGTGGACGCAGCATACTGCTTCTACACTTCAACGCGGGAATGCGTATAATAACGAGAGAGCTTGGAGGCTCAGGGCCCTACACTATGCTTTTTTGCCTTGATGACCTAGACAAAAAAAAAGCATAGGGAACAAATACCAAATTAAAGCTGTGTGGACCTTGGCTAGCGCCAGACGTTACTGAAGTAACGTCTTCTGCATAGCTACGGGAATTAAAGCTGTGTGGACCCTGGCTAGCGCCAGACGTTATTGAAGTAACGTATAGCTACGGGAATGAATAATAATAGAGAGGTTTCTCTCTACGTAATTACGTATGAAAATCCGTATGTCGTACGTGCCGGGGAGCGAGGGCAGCTTTCATATGTAAATCTCTCTACGGATTTCCGTAGGAAAGCTCTTCCCTACGTTGGGTCCTCCGTAGGACTTTTCGAAATATTTTTCGCATTTTCCGCATTTGTCCATGCCAACGTTCAAGCCGCGCGAAACACAAGGTACACACACCGTACACCTGGTGCAAAATAAGATGGAAAACGCGGTTTCGGTTCACGGTGCATGCGGTGGGCGCATGCAGCCAACGTGTCTCCAAAGCAACAATGCGTGTTTAGCAGTCGTGGATAAATCACGTAGAGCGAAACCGAGCAGCTCTGATTTTTACGTATGAAAATTCCGTGCAGTTCCTACGTTATTTTCATACGTAATTTATGGCACTGTACGCACTAAGTGTGGTGACGCTGATCGCTAAGTGCAACGAAGCAATGGGAACGGCCCAAGATGTATCAGAGCTAATCAGATCAATCCAAGTTTGGTTTGCTGAGGATGCAGCAGCAGGCGGGAAATTGAAGGCGCTACGACAGTTCTGGGATCTACCTGAATGAGAAGGCTACAGCATGGGCCGGAGAGGTGAACCGTCTCTCCGATCTTGCTGCCACTCACCCGCATGCGGCGTACGCTGGATATGTCTTCGGGCTACGCCATCGCTGGACGTTCATCCAGCGCACGATGCCGACAGCCGGGGACCACTTGCACCCCCTGAAGGAGGCCATCGACAGCAAACTTATCCCTACTTTGATGAAGCATCAACTGAATGATGTGAAGATGGATTTGGTCAAGCTCCCGACTCGGTTAGGAGGTATGTCCTTTGATGATCCAATGGCTGAAGCAGAACGCGAGCATGCGGACTCACTGCAATGCACAGCGCACCTCACAGAGCAGATTGTGAAGAACGAACCGGACGCTGATGTCATGGATAGTGTTGCGCACGACCGAGAGCAAAAGGCAGTTGTTCACCAGCGTAACCGAGCATCCGCAACAACCAGAGCGAATGAGGTGCAGAGCAGGCTGCCGCCACTCCAACAGCGAGCCAAGTCATTAGCCAGAGAGAAGGGAGGCTCTAGTACGCTCACGTCCATCCCAGTATCGGAACATGGGCTGTGTTTCGACGCGAAAGCCGATTTCCATGATCATGTCCACCTGCGCTATGGCTGGCCCTTGGATAGGCTGCCGGATACCTGTCCATGTGGAGAGCGGTTCACTGTGGACCATGCCCAGATATGTAAGCTGTCGGGCTTCATTCACATGCGCCATGATGAGGTCACCAATTTCCTAGCCTCATGCATGAAAGAGATCCACAACGATGTGGAAGTTGAGCCGACACTCCAACCCATCACAGGTGAAGCCTTTCGCTATCGTACTGCCAATGTTGAGCCCGATGCGCGAGCGGACATCCGGGTGCGGGGCTTTTGGAACCATAGCCGCATTGCATTTTTCGATACGAGGGTGTTCTATCCCCACGCAGCTATCGGTCCCAGCCCATTGCATCTATTTGTCGCAAGTTGGAAGGTGCCAAGAAGCGGGAGTATGGCGAAAGAGTTAACCAAGTTGAACATGGCTCGTTCACACCACTGGTCTTCTCCTCTTGCGGCGGAATGGGTCCAGAGGCAGACATCGTCGTAAAGCGTATTGCTGATGCTCTGGCTTCTAAGCGCAAGGAGAGCTACAGCAAAGTCATTTGCTGGATGCGCTGCTGCTTGGCTTTCTCTCTTGCTAGGTGTGCGATCCGGTGCGTTCGAGGATCACGCTCCGTTCGCCGCCGTCACATCAACCTTGTGCCTGTCGACCTCGTCCAGGCTGAGGCTCGCCTTGCTACGCATTAGACTGTCTTCACAGCCATTTTAGCTCCCTCCTTATTGGACTGTTTTCACAGCCATTGTAGCTTCCTCCGTATAAGACTGTTTTCACAGCCATTTCAGCTCATTTTCTCTCGGTACTAAGCTGTTGACCTTGCACTTGAGTTTATTTTGCCCGTACAAGAGGCGTGGAACCTTTAAAAAAAAAAACATTTCATACGTAATTTCGCAGAGCGAAACCTCCCTAATAACCTCTCCAATGCCGTTGTACATAAGCGGCTTGCCGCGGATATGTCAATACCACTATTAAGTTGCGGAAATGAAATTGAAAAGACGAAAGCCAACAGCGAAAGATATAGCTTAGAAGTGCAAAGTAGGCAACACTGGTAGAAGATGACATCCTTTCTGTGAGTAAATAGATTGTTTTTTCGTCGGTTCTCACTTACAGAAACTGAAGGACAGGAATCAATTATTATTTAAGCTTTAATTTGGTATTTGTTTGTTTGTTTGTGTGTTTGTGTCACGCCTGGAGCTATCCCGTATCTGTCCCGTATCTGTCCCGTATCTGTGACTACAGTTATTATGTAAGTTAAAGTCAGCTAGTGTAGCCGATGTGCCAGACCAATGTAGGATGATTGTAAACGGCTAAGTCGTCGGGCAGAGACCATTCTGAATAGCCGTCGTAACAGCATTTAGATCACGAGCCTGAGCAGGTGGTAATCTGGGTGGCCCAAAGGGTAAATCCGTCGGCTCAGCTCCACCACAAACCAGGGGCTCATCCAGTGTGCAAACCTGTATAAACAAAAAAAAACAGTACAAAAGGGAACTCACAACAGCCGCTAACACCCGATAAACCCTAGTGGCAGATGCAGCGCCTAACGGTGAGATGAGTGGATAAGTCTCACAACCACTGGCAAAAGTGCCGAAAACGACCCCATTAGCTGCATCCATGTACCCCTTGTGCCTGGCCACAAGTTTCCAGTTGACTGTGGGTAGCAGCACGGCTGGAAAAACCGCTCCCAGGTCTTGAACCAGGTATCTCTCGTATCTCAATCATGGTCTTTGATCAACCCACTGTGCCTGCCTGGTCACCTAGTATGGTCACCTAGTACCCGGACCTCTTTCTCTTTCTTATAAGAACACTGCACACTGCACACTGCGAATTCATAACTTCCTGCCCGTTCTACAAACCTGTCTTTGTAAAGAGGACAAGATAACATCAACCTGAGTCACAGGAAACGACCACTAAGTGTATATTCAGTTTTTTCTTGCCAGAATTACACAGTTTTTTGCGTATGTGCCGCTATTTATCATTGCCAATTATTAAATTATGATGTACCGGACGTAGCACTTCTGAAAACGCAATTGCATTCTGTGAAGTTAGAGGTCCATAGTTTGATACCTGGTTTTTACGGGCAAAATCATGTGCTCGAAAGACAGCGAAACAAATAATTTCTTGGCGGAAGGATGTCTTCAAAAACAAATGATGCAACACAAGCGATTAGAATAATTGGCAGGTAGATCTAGAGCAATACTAAAACGCCTGAAATAGTCCACAGCAAGAAGAAGTCGAAATGTTTAGTGTAAGCGTGGGGAGTGGAAGCAAACTTCTGAGCTCCGATAGTGATATCTTTGTCTGCAGAAAATGGCTAAAGTGCGTGTAAAGATGTCTAGAATCTGTTCCATTCAGCTGAATGAAGGGTGGTCCTCGAAGGATCATGCCTTTTTTATCAGACTTCTTATGTCAGGTGGTGTAAGACCTGATGATAATCAAGCAGGTGGATCTGAGTGGAAGCGGTGAATTCTGTAGAGTTTCGTTTTCCTGCACTGCCGTTAGGGACGAGGTGTTGTCCAGAGGGATCGAATTAGAAGGAAAACAATAAGTATTAGTAGTTGGTGATGGAGCAGTTGTGTTCGTGCATATATTTGGTGCGGCGGATGACACCCCACTGTCGGCCATTACGTCAGCGATGGAAAAATTTGGATCCGTCATTTGTGTTCCGAAGCGGGCAACAAAGGCTATAGAAGGCTGCACCTTCACAACTGGTACTATATTCGTGAACGTAGTCCCCTCAGCTATCGTATCCTCCACCATCATTTTGTCTGAGTCCCGTCAGAAACTGCGCGTTTGGCACAGGGGTCAAGTTCCCACGTGCTAACAAGTGTGGCTCCAGTAGGACTGAAGATAACAATACAGACAAACCTGAAGAGAGTCGACTTTCTGGATGTGACATTGGACCTGACCACCGGAAAGTACTGCCCTTACCGGAAACCGAACGACAAGCCGATGTACATCAACTGCCAGTCAAATCATCCACCTACAATCATCCAGAACCTACCTGCATCGATCAGCAGAAGACTCACAGATATTTCCAATGATGAAGAGGTCTTCAGAGATGCGACTCCGATCTACAGTGACGCGCTGAGGAAGAGCGGATACCGGGAGAACATACAGTATTTTTGACGAGCGTAAAACGGACGAGACAAAAAAGAAGAAGAAAAGGAATCGCCGCCGGAACATCTTATGGTTCAACCCACCATTTAGCAAGAACGTCGCCACCGACGTCGGGCATCGCTTCCTCCAGCTAGTGGCCAAACACTTCCCCAAAGGCTCAAGCCTCAACAAAATCTTCAACCGAAACTCTGTAAAGGTTAGCTACAGTTGCATGCAGAATATGACCACTATCATCAAACAACACAATAACACGATTCTACGACCCAAGAAACAAGCTAACGGAGGTGACAGCGACACCAGGACTTGTAACTGTCGGGCGATAGACTCATGTCCACTGGACGGAGCGTGTCTAACGGAGAGCATCGTGTTAAAGGCAAGAGTCACAGCAGGTATGGAGAAGAAGGAGTATACTGGATTAACAGCAACAATATTCAAACAACGCTACTATAACCACCAATCCTCATTCCGCCACAGACAACACGACAAGGGCACCCGCTTATCGCAGTACGTCTGGACAAAAAAGGATGAAGGGACGGCATGCAGTATTCAATGGGCGGTACACCGCAGAGTAGCGGCCTACAGCAACAAATGCAAAAGATGTAACTTGTGCCTGGCAGAAAAATTGGCAATCGCGCAAGCACCCAAGCACCTCTCTCTCAACAAAAGGAGTGAGCTTGTGTCAAAGTGTCGCCATGAGAATAGGTACTACCTGCGGAACTTTAAACCATCCACAGCCATCACCTAATTAAGTAAGAGACAACCGTCTCCAGTGGTTGTCACCTTTCACCACTGCTGTCATGCACACTTTTCCTTTGGGATTTGTCTCATGATGCAATCATTTACGCTTTGCACTGACGCCATTCACAACTTTTAGATTTGCGCCATGCTGCAGTTAATTGCACTTTTCTTTGTGAGTATATGAACCAATACTGATCCAGTTTTCTCATTACTGTTTTCTGATGATCGCTTAGGGCGTGAAATTCGGAGTAAAAACACTTTCTCTGTCCTCTTCTTGTTTGAACCAGCTCTACCACTCGGTATTGAGCACTCTCTTGGACTGCGTGGAACCTCTCTGTTTAACTGTCCTTAACATGTAGATGCACCTCTGCTGCGTTTGCATGTTCAATAGCCAAGAGACTTGAATAACGACTGATAAAGATATTTCCTTTGTTACCCCCTTCATTGGTTGATGTACTTTGTCTGTCGCTGCAAATTCTTTATTATTGTTTTGAAGTTGGAGTTCGGATTGAGTTTCTTTCCTTTCTTCCTCTTCCTTCCCTTATTTCTTGTCCCTTTGGTTTACCTTTTAATTTTTTCACTTCCTTTTTGCTGTCCCACCCATGAAAATATTTCCCGGTGGGGCTGGCTTATCGCCTTCGAAAGAAGTGAATAAAGGAGACATAATAACTTTATTAGGATGACACAAAGGCTGACGGCCTATCGTGGGGTCCGTCGCATTGAAGGATGATGGCACAAGAGTATCATCCTTTCACACAGCCTTGCTTGCCTTCCTGCCATATCATATTTCCTTTCCCACTCACGGACCATGTGAGTTTGGCACAGTTTCCATCCAGGACTTTTTGCACCCACCAGACCTCAAACCTTCACACATTCCTTCCTATGATACTGTGTAAATACCATACTGCAATGTAGCTGTGCATCACTGTTATCAGTTATCTGACGATTGCTATCTGGCATGTAACCTTTAGTTACAACAATCAAGACGCGTGGAACTCTGTGACTCGTGCATAATAGACCGATCCCCTTATTATACTGGGTTCGAGCACGGGGGCAACCTCACTCGCGATCGAGCTAGTTTTTGAACGTGACAGCATCTTTGACAGTGTTTCAGGTTTGTTTTGGAATGTCTTCTGCTTAGTTCAAGTAGTTTGCGATGGCTTCGAGCGGTGCTGAACCTCCTGCTGGTAGGAGCAGAGTCTCCGAGAGAGACATGGACTGTGATGCAGCTGTAGGATTTTTTCAAGGCGCGGGAGGGAACGATCTCGGGCGACAAACAGGAGTTACTCCAGAGGTGAGTTTTGTTGTTGAAATATGAATCGTGAATCGTGTTTTGAGATTTATTTTGTGCCTAGGCTTTAGCAGACCGTATTTCTTTCTCCTTGAGATCGGTGCTGAAGACAATAGTAACCTTTTTCTGGTCTGCCTTTTCCTCTCCAGAGCCATCTTCTATGAAGGTAACCGTGGTGCTGCCAAGTCACCAAGTCGCGATCGCGATCAGCAGCCCTGAAGTGGAAAAATCGATTTTCCAACGATCTGGTTGGACATCAGCCACTAATGTACTTCTGATTTGCCTGTAGTGACAACAGCATCCATCCTTGGACACCTTGCAAAGACAGGAAAAGCCACTGGTGGAAGCGACTGCTATGAGATAGCAGTGCAGTGGTGATCGCTGTTTTGTCAAGTCGAAGGGCTAGCCAACCCAGAGGAAGGAAAAAAAACCGATGAGCAGTGCGTGGTATTTGTTGAGCGTGAAGAGCTAGAGGAGGACAGTGCAAACACATGGACGGAGTGGATGGTGTTTGAAGAACAGTGTGCTGTGTGCCGGCTGGTGGTGATGGTGGTCTTTGTCAGCATGTATTCGTGCTGCTTCTTGTGGTGGAACACTTCTCGCCCAGGAAGGCAGATTGCGTGCTCCCTGGCCCTCAGTCGGCAATGGGGCATTTGTTCCAGGAACATTACCCCAGAGCCAGTGATGAGTCGTACCTTTGAAAAGTTTGAAGCTTGCTGTTAATCGCAAGCGTAGCGCAGTGGATTGCTCCCTCTTCGAAGCACGAGGGCCAAAGCTTGCCGCTGTCTGCAGCAAAGTGTGTGTGCGGTTCTTTCGAACCTATGAATATACCCCCCCCCCCCTCTATCTCTTAGGAAGACTGCATGTTCAGAGTGAACTATTTTCTAGTATATTTAATGTGAGACGGGCTGTTTACGCCCAAGATAAAGATACAGTTTTTTTTCCGTTTCTATACCTTCCTAATAAAATACATCGTGACAGAGCTTTCGGTCATACTCCGCTGTACTACATCCTCAACCCGCCACCACCATGCGCTCTTGGCCGAACTAATGCACGAAGCATAAACACACCAGCACAGCAAGGACACTTCCGTTGACAGAATTATTTACGCCTCTAGACAGCTGTTTCGTTTCTTCTAGCTCATTGTTAGAGGAGGATAGTAGCAGGATACTAATGATGAAATAATATAAGATGATACTAGTAGACGGTTAATGGTCCGATATTGATGATTGGAGATCTAAGAAAGCAATGACAGTGATTGCGAAATGGATAATATTATCATGATTATATGCCAGTCTGGTAATGCGTTGTACTAGTGAACAGTATTGAAATCATCACTGCATTCGATGCAAATATTGGTATACCTTTGGTTTCAGTATTGGAAAAAAAAACCTGGTTGATTTGGTTGCATCTGCGACTGGCTACCGGGTGTTGTGACCGGCAATGTTACCATGGGAGAAAATAAGAGCGCAAGGATCTGTTTGGTCTTGTTGTGCTGTGCCGGTGCGAGAACCCTAAGTGCATGGCAAAATAGAGCTGCTTCATCCCCATTGCAGAATGTCTTGCGGTACATGGCATTGATGACTGAACATCTCGCCAGCTCACCCAGATGGGAATCATGCCCAAACGGAGGAACAAGACATCTTTCCAGCTCAGCTAGCTATATACCGTGAAACGGATGGTTAACTTGTGCCACGCATGCCAGCTTCTGTTCCATTCGGCCCAGGCTTAGACACATCAATGCCAATAGCAGCTGATCCTCCATTACATGCTCATTGGCGATTTACGGCCACCTCCAACTGTATCCGCCATCCCTCAGCTTCCGTCTTCGCAGATCTGGCGCGGCGCATTACATTTTCTCAGCTAGGCTCAAAGAAGTCGCACAGAGCGGTCCAAACACCTGAAGGCAAACCAGTCAGAAACTGGAGCGGCTCAGAGTCTTTCTTTATGTTATTGTACGTAAGCTGTTTTTCGGCTTTCTTCACCCCAGTCCTCACATCGTCCAACTGCTCCACGAGACTCTGTACACGAGCTCTACTTGCTGCCAACTCCTGATGCAGATGCTGCACTTCCATTACAGGACCAAACTGCACTAAGCCAGGTTCCTTTCCAACTCAAAGTGCCGTTGCCTCTCAGCAAAATACTGGTTTGCGAGCATGGGGAGCTCGTGATGCAGACGCTGCACTTCCATGACCGAACTGCACTAGGCTCAGCAAATACTGTTTTGCGATCATGGGGAGCAGGGCGTCCAGACTCCACGCTCTTGCGAAAAGCAAACCTGGTACCGTAGGACAGCTGGTTGGTTTCCTGGACTCATCCTGTCCTTGTAGAGCTGGGCAAAACGATTTCGATTTCGGGATCGAAATGATCGCTGCAACTCAAATATTCAGAGTGACCCTAAAACTGCGTCCTTCCTCACGGGGAATAGCCTGGATCCGCTTGCTCCAGGCCGCAGTGGCTCCACACGAGGAAAGGAGTGAAATGACTTGTTTGCTTCGTCCTCCTGTTCTGACAGTGAGGAACGCAGCAATGTTCTGAGAAGGCATCCTGAAGTCGTAAAAAGGAAGACGTCTAAACAAAAACAAAACAGCTCAAATCAAAAGTCCTTGTGGCATTTTTTTGTAGACAGGCTTGCACTGCATGTAGATCTCGTGTGCTCTGCGCTTCGCATGCGAGACGTCACGCACAGTCGCGGTGAGGTTGGTCGCGTGTGTGCAGCAGGATCCCACGCGACTGCGGAGTTGCCCCCTTGCTCGAACCCAGACAATAATAAGGGGATCGGTCTATTATATAATGTATTTTTCTAGCTAGGCTGTTAATTAGCCATTCACTGTCTGCTATTTCAACCCTACAGCCTCCCATTAGAATTGAACTCCCTTCAATTTAGACTACGTCTCTTGGGAAATCCTCAAATATGTATTATGATAGTAAAAGGTTCGTTGTATTGTTATATAACGCGTTTTATAACGCGTATTTCCTGACCTGCCCAATATGATGGAGAGAGAATCGACGGAATTCACCCTGTACCGACAGGAACTCGATGAGGATAGGTTGATCGCCTCCAATACGAGGTGGAAATCCGATTATCACTCTGAGTGTTCCGAACGAAGACGGTAGATTTGTGTAGGTGTAGGTGAACAGAGACCCACTTCTCCGAACGACAGAGAATCCGAGACTTTTCTTGGCTAGTGCGGCAAACGGTGACTGCATATCCTGCGACATGAAGCAATCAACGTCGCTGGCCAAAACACCCGTATTCAGCACAGCATCTTGCTGATCCAGGATTGTATTCGCACTGTTTAAGAGCAAATTAGTTTCAGGTAGTGCATTGAAAGCCATTTGAATCAGCTCGAATTCGATTGGTTGGCCATCTCGAAAGGCATTGCCACTCAACTGGCACGTTTGGGTGAGAAAGCAAGGCTCCATCGGCATTTGAACTTCATTATCCACACTGTCGTCACTGTCTTCACTCTGGTCAGCAGAGAAGCTTGCGCTGTCGCTATCCGATCGGATGGTCACAAGGCCTTTCAAGTTGCTCGCTCCGAACTCAGCGACAGCTAGCGAGGTGCAGCAGTCGAGCAGAAGGACTACAAGTAAACGCCGCATGGCGCTCGTTCTTTCTCAACGTTCTGCAAGCACTCCTCTAACAAGGGTTTCTGAAAACGGTGTAAAAACGGTGGAGTAACAATAGACGTTTTGAGGTTGTGGGGATTGATATGAAATACTGGCATGGTTATACGTGTACCATGCTGGATAGTCGAGACAGCTAAGCACGTTCGAACTAACCATAGGGGGATTCTCCTAAGTACTAACCTCGCATTGTGCACAGAGGTACACGCCCATATACATAAAAATGTTCGGATGCGGCAGATAATGTCACTTAACTGTTCTTCCTCGTTTTCCTGCTGCTTTGCGAGACGTTCCAACGTGGTATTTGCTCCGATGACTGAATGTATCAGCATTCGGCAAATAGAATGTAACTCTCCCCGCTAGACCCTGTGTAGCTGACTACAGCCGTGTCCCCTAACTGAAGAACGATTCACGATCTTCTTATCTGATGCTGCGCGTGTCAGTGCATGCTAATCTTAGCTATGTTATCATGTGACTCTCATACTAAGGGGGCATACATTGCCGGGCTTTCAAGTGGCTGTTGGAGCACGTTGTTACCGTTTAGAATACTCTGGGCATTCCTACAAGTACGTGTTAAGTATGGCGTGTATGTACCGATAGCTTTGTCACTCTCGACTTGCGATGAGAGTACTAAGGTGTTTGTGACAGTCACGTTAATAATCAAGACCATACTCTCCTCACTTGTTCCTTAGGCTTAGGAGCTGGAAACGAGACTACATTGAAGGAACTATATTTAAGTGAATAATTATTACATGATGCACTCACTTCGTTTCTACCGGTCAACAAGCAACATCGCTAGTAACTGATCACTACTGAATTCCACCAATCGGCAGGCGTATGACATGCTTGTGCCTGTGTTGCTTTATTAAAGAGAAGTTAAAATGTTTGTTGGAAATCGCTTCCGGTAGGGAGGGGTGGTCAGTGCAGCTAGGCGCAGAATTTTCAATCGCGGGTGTAATTGCATTCGTTCTCGCTCCCCATACATGTTCCTATTTTCAAACTTTGGAGCAGGGTGCAGGTGTTCGCGGGTGTAATTGCATTCGTTCTCGCTCCCCATACATGTTCCTATTTTCAAAACTTTGGAGCAGGGTGCAGGTTTTCGCGCTCTGAGGCTCCTATAGTTTCTCGCCAGGAACACCGCCATCAGGCCGGCCTGGTTTCAACATTAGGATTTAGGTATTAGTTTGTAGTAGTAGTAGAAACCTAGGTAGGTATCCGATAGCGTTGGGTCACCTCCGCCATGCCTCCAACTAAATCTGCCGTTCATGGACTGGCGGATTTCGAGGTAAAGCTGTTGTGCCCCCTCCCCGGGATCGAGTCGTCGGTAGTAGATGTGATGAAGACGTTCGTAGCATTGGTAACGGAGTCCGCAGACCGCGAGGAACGCCTAAATAACAGAATTAAAGACTTATCGAGGCGAATTGCAGGGCTGAACGATGAGGCTGTCGCCCTCAGGAAGTCCGCCATTGCTTCCCCTCTGCCTGCCACAGCTCACGAACCCCAGAGAACTCGTACTCCGCAGTGTCGACGGCGTACCCGTACCCATATGCGCAGGGGCCAGGCCCAGGATGCCACGCGGGAGCAGTCCCAGGATGCCACGCGGGCCACGACTGATGAGGGCGACGTGCGGCATGCTGGCCAGCGCAACTTGGAGCTGAAGGACGACGACAACGAGCCCCAGACTCTGGACATCTTTTGCTGACGACAGCTGGCAATTTGTTGCACAGGAACCCCCCAGGGCCAAGAACACAGTAATCTTTTTGGGCAACCTAGGTACAAACTGCTCTGAAGAGAGCATCAAAACTTTAGTGAAGCGGCGCGCTGAGAGAGTGGGATCAACAGCCAGAGTTCACAACAGCAGCATCCACACAACGCAGACAGGAAAGGTGTCAGCTGGGATTTGTATAGATCCCACAGACCTGAGCCTCGTGACAACTCCGGACTTCTGGCCAAGGCCTCTATACGCCCGGCCGTGGGAGTACCGAGACCGTCCAAAGCTCAAACGACAACACCTTGCCTGCGCTGCGAGAGGTGACCCTACACTTGATGGTGCTGACAGCGCTGATAGCGACAGCACGGCATCTGCTGGCACCCCGCAATAATCAGTGCAGCTCCGCACCTCCACTGGCTGGTGACCAATGCATTTGGCCTCACCAACAAGCTGGGAGACCTGCAGCATGCACTGCTAAACGATAACGTCGACATAGCGGTTATGACAGAAACGAAGTTCTCGGCCCAGACCGTAGCCTGTGAGACAATGTTTCCAGGATACTCGCCTTCCATCCGACGTGACCTTGATGCATTTGGTGGCGGCATTGCTGTATGGGTGAAGTCCGGCCTCCCAGTGGTGCATCTGGGCCAGATTCCCACTGATGACCACAAAGTCCTCTGGTTTGCAGTAAGTCTTTCCACGCAACAATCTGATGTTATCGATGCCTTGTATCGGCCTGGATCCTGTGCGAACAACGGGACCTGTTTGATTGAGTATCTTGGACCTGCACTAGACGTGGCCTGCACTCACAGCACTCACAAAGTGCTAGCTGGGGATTTTAATGTCCTTCACGAGACTTGGCTCTGCAGCAGCAAAACAACTGTAGCTGGAGAGGCCTTGGAAGAATTGTGTGCTGAGCATCAAATCCACGAGCATGTCTTGCAGCAGACTAGGGGTCTGAACACCTTGGACCTCATCCTCTCCAACATGCCCGTTCCTATCGACACCACTGTCAAAGCGCCACTTGGTCGCTCTGACCATGGGGTTATTCTTTCCGACTTTTACATTACCCCTGATGCTGAGCAAGCTACCTCACGGACTGTCTGGCGCTACAATCAGGCAGACTGGGGGCACCTGCGGGCCTTCTATCGCACTACTGACTGGTCGACCAATGCGACTGACGACCCTGAAGAGTCCTGCAGGAAGCTAAGTGACGTCATCTCCAGCGGCATGCAGAAATTTATCCCCGCCAAGCAGCTTGTTACCCGCCAACAGACCCCAAATGGTGGACTCCTGAGTGCACCACAGCATTGAACACTAAAGACAAGGCATGGAAGGCCTGGAGACACAATATTTTCAGCGAAGCCCACAAGGCTTGCTTCATGCGCTCAGTAGAAGATGCTTTTTTTTTTTTTTTTTTACTAAAAAACACAGCTCCACTAATAATCAGGGGAAGAGGACAACTGAAATGACGCTGGACAGCAAGACAAAGGGGAGTAGGGGCGATGTGCCGATGTGGTTCGCGAGGCTCATCCGACCGGAAGTCTCGGAATCATAGCCTACGACCAGGCATCGTTAGGAATGCAGCTAGGGAGGGAGGGAGATCAAGTGAGAAAGAGAGAGAGAGAGAGAGAGAGAGAGAGAGAGAGAGAGAGAGAGAGATGGGGGAGAGGGAGGGAGAGAGAGAGGGAGAGAGAGAGAGAGAGAGAGAGAGAGAGATAGAGAGAGAGAGAGAGAGAGAGAGAGAGAGAGAGAGAGAGAGAGAGAGAGAGAGAGAGAGAGAGAGAGAGAGAGAGAGAGGGGGAGAGAGGGAGGGAGAGAGGGGGGGAGAGGGAGGGAGAGAGAGAGAGAGAGAGAGAGAGAGAGAGAGAGAGAGAGAGAGAGAGAGAGAGAGGGAGAGTAGTAGTATTCTTTTATATAAAGTGCAGAAACCGAAACAGGCAAATGCCTAATAACAATGTATCCCACTGTGTAGGGTGGAGGAGGGGGGAGACATGGCTAATGGTAAATTGGCGGCGAAATAGAGCAGTTCCAGCACAGCTACAGAAACATGGGCGTAAAGCTTAAAGCAGACAAGGATGTGTTGCAAAGCGCTTGTTTTGAAGACGGCCAGTTTGGTGACGCCTCGGATATCCGCATGGAGGGAATTCCAGAGAACTGCGCCAGCATGTTTCACCAATTTGGTAGAATGTGCAGAACAATGTGCAGCTGCAGCCACGATAAGCAGGTTACTGTTGCCTTCTCGAGTTCTTCGTGACGGAAGACGTGGAAAAAAGGTTTCAAACAATCTACTTCCTGAAGAGCTTAAAATACGCCATATAAAGCAGAGCAAGTCCTGCTGTTTTGTTATTGTATACTCTGTTGTCTTCTCCCCTTCTGACGAGTAGTTTGTGAACTTAGTTAAAAACAAAACAAAAAGTTAAGTTGACTGGTAGTGCGCAAGGGAGAGACATGTACACGCTCAAGCAGCGTGACAGTGGGGGTCCATGGGGGAACTTTACATACAGCACGCAGTGAGCGCTTGAAGAGCCTTTCCAGACGGAGCTCCTGGTGAACAGATAGATATGGGGCATAAGCATTGGATGCATACAGAAACTCAGGCAGCACAAAGCATTTGAAGTAGCAGATACGACATGAGAGGGGTAAAGATGCAGCATGGCGGACTAAGACAGCTATTTTAGCAGAAACCCTGATAGCAACACGTTGAAACATTGTCTGCCAGCACATTGACGTGTCAAAATGCATAGATACTTGGCCGATGGTACCACTGGCAGATCTTGACTATTGCATGTCACGCGTAGGGCAAAGGGTGGTGCTTGGTGGTGCTTGGTGAGGAGCATACAATCAGACAATATAAAAGACACAATTTCATGCTGGATCAATCGGTTTGTTTCCATGGAAGAGATTGGAAATTTGAACGCGGAATGGCTACATAGTGAGGTACATAGTGAGGTACATATTCAAAGAAGCGAATTGCTGTGTAGCTGCCACTTCAAGTTTTGCGCATTTCACCGATCATCAGACAGCGGCATTTGGCATTCACTACTGAGTTCTCTACGAGCGGGTATAGAGTGAGGTACGCGGACCATCAACAAGACTAGTAGCGGGATGGAAAGTGAGATAGTAATACTGCGCTATGATAACGTCAAAGCAAGTTTGACACAGCACTCGATCGTGATTTTGCAGTCATTTACTTGAGGCTATCGAGGCCCGTTGAATGAATAGAACATCATAATTATTATGGTACAGGAGCTAAGTGGCGATTCCCGTTTGACTCTAAAACATGTACCGCCTTTTCAAGACTGCGGAATGAGAACTGTTTTTTCCTGCATTTAGCTACCCTGTCTCTAATTTGTACAATTTAGAACGCCACAGTGGTGCCTACTGACGTAGGTGGCACCGGCCGTTACATTACACAACAACATTGCATCTTTTCGTTCACTTCGTGTAGGTCAATAGGAGATTCCTCGTTTCTCATACTCTATACTTATGTACAGATATGCACAAGAAAGATCTTTTTTTTACATAATACTGAAATACATAGTGCAGCAGAGAACGGAATA